TGTTGGTCATCTCAGATGCAGCGGTGCTCTGTATCTCTGTATCATCCGCACTGCTATCAGCTACTGGATCCTCCATCTCACTCCTCTGCATTGCTGAACAAATACTAAGAGACAACAACACACAGGTAAACGACTACAAGACATCATATTGCATCTATTAGCTTGAACAGTTTCGGTTTCAGTTGCAAATTTACGAATCTGTTGTGTGAGAGACTGGCAAACAAACGAAGATGACTGGTTAACTCACTATATATACACAATATCATAACACGCTAATCGCTAAACGCCGACTTCAGATCACACCTAGGACATTCAATCGATTGTCAATCATAAAATGCTTCGTGTAACTTTCAGTCAATAACAACTGACAGACGTCCAAAACAAAGAACACGCGCTACTTTTAGCTGACGGTTTAAAACTGTAGATAAACATAGAAGTATAACTGAGCGCTGTTGCTGGGCAACATCTCGCTCGACTAGTTTAGCAGTCATGGCTAACCAAACGCTCAGTTAAACATCTGCTGACTGACTCGACGCGCTCTACCGTTTGACAGTTTCACAACAAACACCTTAAATGCATCTCTGCTGTCAGCTAATACCGTTTAAATGAATACCAGTGTTTTAGTTTGGTCCAAGAAACCACTTCTGCTGTTTGTCACCACTCTTTACCCTTCCCACTGCTGCTTCCAACTGACACAGGAAATGCCAGGGAAACAATCGAAGATGATTGGTCGAACATTTGCAAACTTCCGGTGTCATTTTTTTTATTACTATTATTGTATGGCAGTGCTTTATTATTTATTTGTCGTTGTTTTGTTTTTATATTAGCTTTGAATTAATATTCCTAACAAAATATTTCTCGATAACGCCGATCTGGGCGATAGTGATGGCAAAAAGAAGCTTTGAATCAATCGAACCAACTGATCCGTGCTCGAAACACCGCAAACTAGTTGAACCTGCTAGTCAAAAGCGGGGAAAAAAAAAAAATATATATATATATATATATATACACAAGTATGAAATGTTTCGAAACCAGAATCCCCATTTTCTGAAATCCCGCGTCCCGGACCACTGATTCAGAACTAACTGCTTCGAAGCTTCTTGTTTCCGACAGCGGCAGCGCCGGCCTGTCATCAGCGTCAGTGTCGCCGCCATATTGGACCGGGCAGCTCTTTGTCAGAAGACTGGTCTGAAGAAAATATGCCTGATTCGTGTGCTGCTTGGGGCTGCAAAAACCGCCGCACAATCCAAAGCAGATACCGCGGAATTACTTTTCACAAGTAAGACTGTTGCGTCTGGTTGTATCAGGTCATTTTTACATTAACAGAGCCATACTGTTCATTGCTAACGATAACAGTCGCTAACTGTAAAAGCTGAGACTGTATAAGATATCTTAGAGGTGAAGTTCTTATAAAGTCTCAGGCTGTATTATAGTTTATTTAGGGATTTATTATAGTGGTCCAATCAGCATGACCCATCTCGACTTTGACAACCCATCGCACTGTTTTGAGCAGCGCCACCAAGCCACGTAGCTGTGTACCTAAATCTTGAGCTAAACGCGTTACAGAAATGAAATGAAGCTGAGTGAAACTTTGTGCATTTCTGTGATAGGACAAACATTTTTTTGAGAAGTAAGTTTGTGTGACAAGTTCACTTTCCTTATTATTTCAGCTGATAACACAATAACAAGGTACACACTGGTTTTTCATTGTTTATTACTTACATTATTAGTTATCAGAAGTTTTTACTACTATTAAAAATAGTTTACTAAACAAATAATACACAAAATATTTTTTTCACGTGACACCAAATCCTAAAAAGGCTTTTGCTTCATTTACTTTACTGAAAACGTAGAAATGTCTAATTATTCTTCCAAAAATTCCATAGCTGTACTAAATACAGACACCATGCAAGTTATTACGGTTTGGACCTTTGGTAGGAAGAAACTGTATACAATGAACCTGTTGAAATTTAGAGTACCCATGCTTTACATTGTAAACCACATTGCCCAATACTTATCATCTATGTTGACTTTTTTCTATAAACTGACTTTAATGACAAGCAACTTGTTGCGGGTGAGTGACTGACATATTGTGAATCTGACGATTGTTAGCTGGCTATGTAACTTTTCTCACATTTGAAGGTTTCCTAGGGAGAAAGCATTGAGGAGGCAGTGGGAAATAGCTACAAGAAGGAAAGGTTTTTCCGCCAGCGACTGCTCTGTGCTGTGCAGTGAGCACTTTAAGCCACGGGATGTAGACAGGACAGGTCAGATTGTCAGGATTCGAGAAGGAGCTAAACCATCTGTCTTCAGTTTCCCAGCTCATCTACAAAGAGTAGGTTTACCACTATATTATACAATTGTGATAGCTTGTCATTAGGCTCAGTTATACATTTTTCTTCAACCTTAGCCAGTGGCACCCAGGAAAACAAGAACATCAAGGAAAGCTGAAGAGAGGCCGCCAGTGGACTGTTCTCAGCAGTTACAAGAGACTAAACCTGTAGTGAGTAAGTGAGTATTTTATGCACCAAAATGCTATGATTTTGAGTGATGTGTTATAAACATTATAACATAAAAATGTAATTTTCCTATTTTCCTTGATCACTCTTATGCATTGCCTGCAGATCCCACTGATCTAAAGGCTAGACTCGGAGAAGCCTTGGCTAGAGTGGAGAGTCTGGAGCGAGACATGAGGAACGTGAAGAAACGAGAACAGAGGGCAAAGAACATGGTGCTAGCTCTTCTAGAGGACCTGAATGGAAAGAACTTCATAAATGACGAGTTGAAACACAAGCTCAATTTCTACTCTGGGAAAATGAAAATAAAAAGTTGAACTGTGTGGCGGCTGAGTTCCATGGATGCCAAGCCTGGTGTTAAAATGATGTTATATATGTTGATATGTATTTTTGATTTGTCTATAGTTCCGGTGCAGTGGTTTGGTGGGAATAGTCTCCAGTCTTGTGTGATATAATTTAATATTAATAAATATTACAATAATATTGTCTAGTGAAAAATATTTAAAGTGTGCAGTAAATGTAACTTTTTTTTTTTTTCAAAAATGTTTTTTTTCTGACTGCATTATTGTAATACAATTAGCATTAAACTTAAATTCAGGAACTGTTGTGGGATCTTTGATTTTGAAAACAAAAAACAATAGTGACATGGGTCTTCTGTGTATTTGATGGCTTTTTGATTTTAGATATGGGGGTTATCATTTTGAGAAATATGTTTCAGGAAATGTTTTTGCAATCTGGAAAAACTGCCGTACTTTATATGCCATAACAAAACCATGAAAAATTTTTCATTACATTTACAACCATTTCCATATATGGAACCTCTTCTATATATATATATATATATATTTTTTTTTTCATTGCATACCACTGAATAGTGTTTTATCAGAAACTAGCAATATGGTTTATTAATTTAGCATACTCATGGTATATCATTAAACCAGTGGGGTCAGCTAAAAGTAGCTTAAAACATGGTAATAAACTTTTTTGAAATGGCATTCAAACAATGACATCTTGCCACCTTAAAGTTCATTCGGTACAGATCAGAAAATTGGGTGTTGGTTCCATCTTCAGCATCTGAACTAATTCAGCCCGTTACATCCACTATCTGAGAACAGCATAAATGCTTAAGTTTACCATATTAATACTGACTTGCATACAAACTCTGAAACAACTGCAACTTAAACTTGAAAATGATTAAACTGACAAAGGCTTTCAAATATATGTAAAAGCACTGCTTCACATTTCCTTTTTTTT